GAGCCATAGCCCACATGCCCAGTTCCTTCCTAGACCCAATTCTCAATAATATTTTCTTCCAAGTAATTCCTCAAACCTATGCAATGTGATCTTCCTTGAGGTTACTCGATCTGACAGTCCTAGGCTGGAAATTATGCCCGTTTATCTACTCCGTGTTCTGGTGATGTCTGGAATTTATTCCAGGCTCATACTGGGCATTGTGCATAATGTGTGTTTACCAAGCCTGATTCTTCTGTGTTTCTGAAGATTTATGGGCCAATAGATTTTTAAAAATATGTTTCTTTTATGTCTCAACAAAAATAATTTTTCTATTTCACTTTCAATTAAGGACTTCAATTGATACAATCAGATTTTTAATGTCAGTTTAAATTTAACTAGAAAATTCTATGAAAAGTAAGGGCAGTGATCACAGGGATTTAGGAATATAAATGTATTTAAAAATATTTAGCAGACAAAATTAAAAGGATCTTATGTTGAATTTGTGGTAAAGAGACAAAATGGCAGAGATTAAGTCCCAAATGTCAAATTGACCTCCATCCAATCTGTGGAATCCATGTATATATCTTTGCATTTTCTTACCATGCTATAATTACTGAATAATTATTCAGTGATTAAAAAGATATTTAGCCTTTAAAGTCATTGTCTATTTTTTTTTCAGATTTTAAAGGCAAGTAAAAAAATTAGTACTGGTCATTGACATAAATCTTACAAAAGGAAGTTACTTATTCTGTGAAAACATGAGGGATTACCTCCACCTCACCCATTTTATTCCTTATGTGAGCTTTTTGCCCAGGTCTAGGAAATAAATTGATACAAGATGGAATAATAAGGGAAAAGCATATAAGTTTTATGCATTTCACATGTACATGGGAATCCTCACAAGAGTGTGAAATCTAAATAAATTGTCAAAGCAAGATGTTTTTATACTTTTAGAAAAAGAATGATAAATTGCAGAAAAAATTACAAAAACAAAAAAAAAAGAGAGAAACTGGCTCGAAGCCATAAATTCCAGGGGAGTCCCTAGGAGGTATATGGGGGTGTAAAGATAGTGAAAAACAAGAGTTAATTCTGGTAGTGTATTTATTCAGGTTCACTGCATTCCCCCAATTCCCAGGCTCTAGTGATAAGGGCTATTTTCTGTTCCATTACAGGGAGGGTACAGAAGAGTATCCGAATGTACCAAAGATTCCTGGAGGAATCTTTAGAGCTTGCTGCATGCTGAAAAAGACAAGTCAGATAACCTTTCCCTCTACTGTTAGCCAAAATGTCTTCAATGTTTTCAGTTCAAACTAATAAATATGCCAACTCAGCATATTTGTCGATGGCATATCATTCATTCCTTCAATTTACTCTATTTCACTATTGAACCACAACTTCTTGTGATGAGAAAGATACTCATCCTTTAAAATAGAAAGAATACTCACGTCCTTTTCCATAAATCGAATTTTGCTAATGTAACACATAAGAAGTCTCTAAATGCACACAGTCTATGTTATGAAAGCCATATAGATAGCATGTGACATAAAATTTGCATCTCGTAATCTAAGGACATGAAACAAAGAATGACTGTGAAGTGCAAAATAATAACCACAGCATAACATTTGGAGGGAAAGAAAAATGGCTAAAACCAGGCACAATGAACAGTGAGCCAAGGACTCTGTGAGGTAATGAATTCGTTAATTTCCCCACCAAAGGAATTATTATCCAACTTTCAAAATTATCTGTAGTACATTCTCATAAACAATGTAGCAATTGACAGATTTGAATAATTGTACTTCTTTTTATGTTGTTCTTCTTAATGACCTTAAGGGGAAAGGAGTGGCCTCTAAGTGCAGACAGCATGTCAGAGGGGTGACCTCTTTATCTCCAATCCCAGGGTCATTGACATGAAAAAATCCCAGGGTCATTGGCAAGGATTCACCTTGCCTCTACAGGAATGTCAGCAGGTGGGACTTCAATGATGCCATTTACTGATAAGGTACAAGCCATCCATATTGTTTTTCAGTAAACTAACTTCAGAGAGATGGAATGATTTCCCCAAGGCCATGGTATGTCACAGAAAATCATAGAGCTAGGTCTCCTGCTTCCCTCCATGAATCACTACCTGGAATGGGTAAAGGGTCTGAACTGGGCACCACTGCTCAATTCAGTCCACCCTCAGGCTCTTTCCAGTAATAACAACTAACAAAAACAGCAGACATTCCATCTTAGTGTATTCAAGCTGCTATGAAAAAATATCTTAAACTGGATGAATTATAAACAAGACAAATGTATTTTTCAGAGCTGTGGAAGCTGGGAAGCCCAAGACAAGGTGCCTGAAGATTCAGTGTCTAGAGAAACGTTGCTTTCTGGTTCACAGACGGTGGCTTCTATGACACCATAGATGGCACCATCTGCTGTGACCCCACACGGTAGAAGGGACAAACAAGTTCTCTTGAGTCTCCTTTAGAAAGGCATTCATCTTATTCAAGAGGGTGCTACCCTCATGACCTAATCATTTCCCAAAAGGTCCCTACTCCTAATACTCTCATTTTAGGGGTTTAGATTTAAGTATGTAGATTTGGGGAGGATACAAACACTCAGACCATCGCACATTCCCACCACTAGCCCAGACTGCATGATATCATTCACTTCCTGTCCACTCTTTCCATCCTTCTCAGGATGGCCCTGTGGGCATATGCACAGGGTTCCACACTCAAAGGGCTCCATGCGTGGTTTCATGCTCTGCTGTTGTCATTGAAATATTTTATAATTTCATCTCTGAGTACGAATGTGATAGAGGAGCTAGACAGGCTGGCAGCATGTGCACACAGTTTGGGTCTACTGGTAGTGACTACACAAGTGGGCTCAGGCAAGAACCACGTGGGGCAACTGGCCTGGTCTTCTCATGCGCGCGCGCGCACGCGCGCGCGCGCACACACACACACACACACACACACACACACATCTTATAATACTTCCCAGCACCACAGGACCCAAGCAGTGTCTGGGGTATGACTGGGCTCATGCTGGTGGTGATGACAGAAGCAGCAGCGCAGGTGGCAGTAGGGTATGAGTGTCCCTAGCTTGGAAGAGAGGAGGTGCTTGCCCTGGCAGCAGCAAGTGACTGCTGATGGGATGCCTATTTCCCTCTGTCCCAGAGCCTATGCCTGTTGTGTTCACTGAATATCAGAAAAGGAAAAGCCAGGAAGATTAGGCAATAAACATTGTTAGCAAATTATTACAAAATAAAAATATACACTGCTCATTGCAACAAAGCACAAAAAGGAGTTACTCTGATTCATAAAACAAGTTCAAAATGTATGTTTTAACTGCAACGACATGGAAAACAAATATTCACAGGCTTCGAAATAGAAATGATATTAAAGAGCATTTCAAGAATTTTAACTGTGTAATACTTTACTGTTAACTTTAGTCATGGAAGAGAACAATTGAATTTATTTGTACAAAATACTGATGAAAGGAAATGAAGAATACAAACAAATGGAAAGACATCCAATGCTTGTGAATTGGAAGAATTAATATTATTTAAATGACCAAACCTCAGATTCAATGCAATGTCTGTCAAAATACCAATGGCATTCTGCACATAAATAGTAAAAACAATTCTATGATTTGTATGGAATTATGAAAGACCCCAAATAGCCAGATCATTCCTGAAAAAAAGAGCAAAGCTGGAGGCATAACAGTAGCAAACTTCAAACTATACTACAAAGATGTAGTAATCAAAACAGAATAGTACTAGCATAAAAACAGACACATAGAACAATGACACAGAACAGAGAATCCAGAAATAAATCCACATATCCATAGCTAACTGATTTAATTTTTTTATTTTTCATCACTATGGATACATAATAGTAATATATAATTATAGAGTGTATGTGATGTTTTGATAAAGACCAGCACCCCAAATATGTATCATTTCTTTCTGTTGGGAGCATTCCAGTTCCAAACTTTCAGTTATTTTTTAATATATACAATATATTCTACAATGAATTATTGTTTACTACAGTCACTCTATTGTGCTACCAAATACTGGCTTTTATTCATTCTACCTATATTTTTGCAACCATTAACCATCCCCACTTTATCCCCCCTCCCCTATACCCTTCTGACCCTCTGGTGACCATCATTCTATTATCTATTTCTATTAGTTCAATTTTTAAAAACTTTAGCTCCTAGGTAGGAGTGAGAACATGCAAAATCTGTCTTTCTGTGCCTGACATAGTTAACCGATATTTGACAACAGTGCCAAGAGCATTTATTGGGAAACTGACAGTCTCTTCAATGCAAGGTGCCTGTAAAAGTGGATACCCATATGTAGAAAAATGAAACTAAATTCCCAATTCTTACGCTACACCAAAATCAACATAAAATGGGTTAAAGACCTAAGTGTAATCATTCTTGATCACTGATGGCACCTTCCAGTCTTTGTTATTGATCTAAAATTTACCTGATGTTAAATCATTTCTCTGGGTTTCATTTCAGTACAAAAAGCATAAACTTGTCATAGGCCAACCAGAGTGATAACAGGACTTAAGAACCACTGATAAGCCCTCTGCTAAATCTCAGTAATAGTAAGTCCCCCTAAATTGAAAGAAAGAGTAACTGGTACGTTAAGTGTCTAAGATAAGAAAGAGAAAACATCTTACAGAATTAGACCCACCAAGTCAAGAGATTTTAGTTTTTGTTTTAGACATAACCAAAAACAATTTAATCACTGGAAAATAAATTGACAATAATAAAATTGTTATGCTGAGTGCCAACTTCAGTTATGCCATTTTCATTTTCATTTCTGCATGAACAAAAAAAAATTCTACTTAACAACATATCAGCAAAAATATGTACATTCAAAATTTATGGAAAAATGTCATGAACAAAAAAGGTTGTTTAGAATTTTATATATCTAATATATGCATTTGTAAAATATATATTTGTAAAAATATATATATTTTATACATATTTTATACATATATATGTGTGTGTGTGTAAAACAATTTTGTCCAGACATCAGTGATTTTCTTCTTCCCTTGGTTACTTTTACTCCTGCACTCTAGGAATGAAATAATATTTTATTACTATACACTGCTGAATGGATGTGTATATGAGCCCTGGGGCCTTAAACAGAAAGTGTGTCTATATTTTCACAGAGCAGATTCTCTGACTCACTCGTGTCAGGGCCCCCATCACCTCCTTGTTTCTCAGGCTGTAGATGATGGGGTTGAGCATTGGGGTGAGGATGGTGTAGAAGACAGCCAGAACCTTGTCCTCTGTTGGAGATCGCAGGGATCTTGGACGTAGATTAGTGTAGAGAAAAGGTGCATAGTAGAAAGTTACTACAGTGAGGTGGGTGCTGCAGGTCAGGTAGGCCTTCTTCCTCCCTTCTGCAGATTTCATGCGGTAGACAGCAAGGAGAACCCGGCCATAGGAACATGAAATACCAATGAAGGGAAACACCAGAAAGATGGTGGTGCTCAAAAACACTGTGCCCTCATAGACCCAGGTGTCCGTGCAGGCCAGAGTCACCATGGCTGGGACATCACAGAAGAAATGATTGATGGCCCTGGATCGGCAATAAGGAATATGGAGAATATATACAGTGTGAGCACAAGCATTGATAGAGCCTATGATCCAAGATCCTGTTACCATCAGCGCACACACTCTTTTGCTCATGCAGATGGGATAGTGGAGAGGAAAGCAAACAGCAATGTAACGATCATAGGCCATAGATGCCAAAAGCAGTGCTTCTGCACCTCCTAATGCCAAGAAGAAGAAACTCTGAATCCCACACCCAGTGAAGGAGATGGACTTGTTTCCATGCAGAAAATCAGAAGCCATCTTAGGAACAATGGTGGAGATGTAACTTAGGTCAATGAGGGAGAGCTGACTAAGTAGGAAATACATGGGTGTGTGGAGGTGGGTGTCCAAGGAGATGAGAAGAATCATGGATAGGTTTCCAATTAGAGCCATTAGGAAAATGAAAACAATGAGGATGAAGAGGAAAAGGCCAATTCTTGATTGTGGGAACAGCCCCAACAAGATGAAATCAGTTGATGTTTGATTGTAATTTTCCATGGGGCTTTCCTACAATCCATCCTGAAGGGAGACAGAAGGGTAAGTTAAGTACAGTAATTTGCTCTTATCTGCAGGGGATGCATTCCAAGTCGACCAGTGGATGTTTGAAACTGCGGTTGATACTGAACCCTAAATACACTATTATTTTGTGTCTATACAAACTTCTGATAAAGTTTAATTTATAAATTAGGCAAGTAAGAGATTAACAAGAGTAACTGATGATCAAATAAAACAATTATACAGTATACTATAATACAAATATGTGAATATGATCTCTATCTCAAAATCTTTTATTGTACTGTGCTCAGACTTCTTTGTTCTGATTTTTACCTATTTTGGAAAAGAAATCTTATTTTCTTACCCAGAGTTTCACATTTGATGAGATCAACATTTGTTACCAGATTTTTTTCTAAGAAATATGCAAATTTATAAGAAAGATATCTCTATTACAACTTCAACAGAATATGAATGTTTTACTGCCTGACACAAACTCAGATATAATCAAAGTCAGATGTTATATTGAATACCTATGCATAGAAAGTCAATATAAATGCATACATTACAGATTTGTATTTGAATAAATTAGTCTTTATAGAATGATTTGTTATATTTCCACATGTATTCTTTTTCTTTTTTTTTAAGTGACAGGGTCTCTCTCTGTTACCCAGGCTGGAGTGCAGTGGCAAGATCATAGCTCACTGCAGCCTTGAACTTCTGGGCTTAAGTGATCCTTCTGCCTCAGCCTCCTGAGTAGCTGAGAAAGCAGTCACGTGCCACCATGCCTAGTTAAATTTATATTTTTGTAGACATGAAGTGTCACTGTGTTGCTCAGGCTGGTTTTGAACTCTTGGCATCAGTAATCCCCATCTCGGCCCTGCAAAGTGCTGCGATTGCAGGCATGAGCTCCCCACCCAACCCATGTTTATTCTGTCAGATTTACTTCTAAAACTGCAGCAGCTTGTCTCTCATTTTGAGAAACTTCAATGATCTTTGTACAATAACACCAAGTCAAACTTCTTTTGTTAGTTATCATAATTTGGTCCTCCTACTCAGAAACCTAGAATAAATCCTTATTGCTATGTCCCTTTTATGGAATGTCATATTAATTCACACTCTTGATTTTCAATATTCATCATCATCCATTCTCTTTTGCCTCCTTGCCTAATTTCAGAATACTCTATTTAAGGCGGACCCCTTACCAAATAGGTTACAGATTTTGTCTTTTGCCTCTCTAGTGCTTAGATAACATTATATGTTGCTCTATGAATCCTTCAAAAGAATGCACTTGGAGGAATGTTCAATTCCCTAAATAACAAAAAGAAGCTAAAATCCTGACAGACTTCTAAGTAGAGGTGTGTTAAAAATACCACTCCAGATGTAAGACATCAGTAAACAGCTTGGCACAGTATGCCTAAAAGAAACAGAGTTTTTAGGCTTAAATATTAGTCTAGAGCCAAAGATCACCAGAATTTGGAGCAAGTATAACATGCACGAGGAAGATTCCCAGTGTGCAAACACACACAAATATGCACAATCACACACAGTCATATGCATAAATACAATGACTTTAAAAATGACCAAAACATGCAGAAACAATAATTTTTTGTGATCAAAATTTGTATCTTCAGAGATGTATAAGTATGAAATCCATAAAATAAATATCATTTCCTATATGAAAGGATGTGAAAGGTAACATTAAAGGACTTTTGAAAACTAAAATTATAGTAATTGATAAAACTATGTAGTGGAAGTTTCAAAAGACAAAGTAAGAAAACTCTATTTGAAGGTAAACAAAAGCAACAACAACATGAAAAGACTGCTATTTAGGAAAGATAGAAAAACTAGGGAATTCATACAGGAGGGCCAATATGTGCTTAAGGACATTCCTAGAGAGGGATATAGCAAAATAATAGTGAAGTTAATATTCTTAAAAAAATTTCTCTCAACTGAGATATATTAACTATCATGTTCAAATGCAATAGTTTTTTTTTTCTTTGTATTGCAGCAATAAATTCTATAAGATGAAATGATGTTGTCAACTCCTCATTGCAGACATAAAGTGGAATGTAATTCTGCTGCGACAGTGGGAGAAGAGTAAGGAACCTGGGGGTGATTATGGAGGAGGGAGCAGGTCACTATCCATGTTAGCCTATATCATGGGTCAAGGAATGGTATTTGGGATATAGAAATCAGGCATTAGCAGATGAATGTATTGTCTAAAAATATATGGGCAAATACGGAGAAAAACTGGAAAGATAAATTGAAATCCTTGACTTTGGGGTCAGCAAGAGTTTATGTTTCTATCATTTTACCCTGCTGAGACCATGTCTATGGATTACTTGAATAAAACATTAAAGTGATGTAAAAATTATGTCACAATTGAGAATTTAACCTGCAGCTTCATCATAATAATGAAAGACTGGTAGCTTTTACTCTGAGATTTGGAACAAGACCCTAAAGTCCACCTTCACTGCATCTACTCAACAAATTACTGGAAGTTCAGTCAACACAATCAGATAAGAAAAGAAATAAAAATATCTTAATTCAAAAGAAAAGTAAAATTATTTCTGTTTGCATATGACATAATTATATATGTAGAAAACTTAGGATAAGTAATAAACAAAATCAGGAAAATTATGGGATGCAACATCAACAACAGCCAAAACCTGTTGTACTTCTATACACTAACAATAGACAATCTGAAAATTGCACTCTGATTTTATTAACAATAGTATCAAAAACAAATGAAACATCTAGAATAAACCAAATCAAGGAGGTGAAAACTTTACACATTGAAAATGGCAAAATACTGATTAGAGTGATTAAAGAAGACACAAATAAATGGAAATGCATCCTACATATTTATTTATTGGAAGGCTGACACTGTTAAGATGTCAACAATACCCAAAGTCACCCATTGGTGTGCTGTATTCAAGAGACACATCTCATGTGCAAAAATGCACATAGACTCAAAGTAAAGGGATAGAGGAAAATTTACCAAGAAAATGGAAAGAAAGAAAAAGCAGGGGTAGCAATCCTAGTTTCTGACAAAATAGAGTTCAAACCAACAAAGGTCAAAAAAGACAAAGAAGGGCATTAGGTAATGTTAAAGAATTCAATTCAACAAGAACTAACCATTTTAAATGTATATGCACCCAATCCAGGAGCACCTGAATTCATAAAACAAGTTCCTAGAGACATACAAAGAGACTTAGATCCCCATACAATAATAGTGGGAGACTTTAATACCCCACTGTCACTATTAGATCTTGAGACAGAGAATTAACAAAGATATTCAGCTCTAGTTCAGCTTGAACTCAGCTCTAGACAAAGTGGACCTGATAGATATCTACAGAACTCTTCATCCAAAAACAATATACATTTTTTTCACCACCATAAGGCACTTATTCCAAAACTGTCACATAATTGGAAGTAAAACACTCCTCAGCAAATACAAAATAAATGAAACCATAACAAATAGTCTCTCAGACCACAGCCCAATCAAATTAGAACTCAAGATTAAAATCTTCCCCCAAACCACACAACTACATGGAAATTGAACAACCTGCTCCTGAGTGACTCCTGGGTAAATAATAAAATTAAAGCGAAATCAAGAAGTTCTTTGAAACTAATGTAAACAAAGAGACAACTTATCAGAATCTCTGGGATGCAGCTAAATCAGTGTTAAAGGGAAATTTATAGCACTAAATGCCCACAGCAAAAAGCTAAAAAGATCTCAAATCGACACCCTAACATCATAACTAAAAGAACTGGAGAACCAAGAGCAAACAAACCCCAGAGCTAGCAAAACTCAAGAAATAAACAAGATCAGAGAGAAATTGAAGGAGATGGAGACACAAAAAAACCCTTCAAAAACTTAATGGATCCAGGAGCTGGTTTTTGAAAAAAAAAATCAATAAAATAGATAGAACATTAGCAAGACAAATACAGAAGAAAATAGATAATATTCAAATAAACACAATCAGAAACCATAAGGGAAATATCACTGTTGATCCCACAGAAATACAATCATCAGAGAATACTAATATTAATTATTCTGTTATAAAGGTACATGCACATGTATCTTCATTGCAGCACTATGCTCAATAGCAAAGATGTGGAATCAACACAAACGCCCATTAATGATAGACTGGATAAAGACACTGTGGTACATATACACCATGGAATACTGTGCAGCCATACAAAGGAACAATATCATGTCCTTTGCAGGGACATGGATGAAGCTAGAAGTCATTATCCTCAGCAAACTAATGCAAAAACAGAAAACTAAACACTGCATGTTCTCACTTGTAAGTGGGTGCTGAACAATGAGAAGACATTGACATAGGGAGGAAAACCACACTTACTGGGGCCTGTCAGGGGAGGACAGTTTGCGGGAGAGCATTAGGGAAAAGAGCTAATGCATGCTGGGCCTAATAAATAGGTGAAGAATTAACAAGTGCAGCAAACCACCATGCCACACGGTTACCTATGTAACAAAACTGCACATTCTGCACATGTACCCTGAAACTTAAAAATAAACAATAAAATCATTGTCAAAATAATAATAAAGTGTACAAAGCAAAAAAAAAATTCAATGGAGTCTCCATCAAAATTCAAATAAATATTTTTTCTCCCAAACAGAAAGCCCATCCTGAAATTTATAGGAATCTTACAGGATGCTCAACAGTCAAAAAATTTTGACTCTTTTTGAAAAAGAACAAAATTTAAAGACTCATACTTTCTGATTTTAAAACTTACTCAAAGCTATAGTCATCAAAACAATGTGGCACTGGCACAAAGCCAAACATATAGCCCAACAGAGGAAAACAGAGTCAAGAAATAGACTCTCATATACATGGCAACCTTTTTTCAAAAAGGGGACTAAGTCCACTCAGTGGTAAAGGGACAGTCTTTTCAATAAACGGTGTTTGGAAAAGTGGATATCTACATTCAAGATATTGAAGTTGGATGTTTATAATACATAGAAAAATTAAGTCAAAATGAATCAAAAATCTAAATGAAAGAGATAAAATTATAAAAGAATAGCTAGAGGGAAATGTCAAATAATAAAGGCACTGTGGAAAATGATACAGATGCTTCTCAACTTACAGTGGAGTTTCACCCTGATAAACCCATCACAA